AAAGACAAACCAGGGACAGATTTTCAATGCCCCTGGAGGTCATCCGAAGAGTTTAGACTACAGCCTGGACCCACTTGAAGTCGCGTAGGCTCTGCATCCTGAAGGTCTGACCTCGTCTCCACTTGTCCCTCCTTACTGCTCCTTTCCTAGTCCAGGTTGCAGCACACTGCACCTGCCTCCTTAGTCTCCTCTCCCATCAGTTCCCCATCCTGTGGCCAGAGACAGCGGACTAAAAATTGAAGAGGTGCTTCCAGTGGGCCGTGGCCCCTCAGCCCACCCTTGCCTGCCTGAGACGGCCCTTGCCACCTGCCCACCCGTACCAGCTCACCTCCTGCTGGACCACGAGGGAGGGTAGGACCGCGGGTTAGCGCGCGCACCTGCGGACTAGGAAGCTTCGGAGAGTGTGGTCGCGCCGCCAGTAACTGCTGGCGGTGGAAGGAGAGGGAAACTGTGCTGCTCGGCCGTCCCGGCCCCGCGCCAGGAGTTGGAGCCGAAGACTGGGCGAGGTCCGGGGCGGCCAGGGCCGGGCCTGCGCGGAGGGCTGTCCTGAGGAGGGGCGCGGCCGGGCAAGGCCCTGGAGGGCTTGCGAGCGGAGCGCGGCAGGTGCGGGCTGCCTGCGCGAGGCAGCCCCAGGCTCTCGCGGAGGGGGAAAGGTTTGCTGGGACGCAGCCGTCGAGCACCCCCCAACCCCCTAGCCCTTGCTCCTCCCGGGCCGGCTCGGGAGCCATCTTCGAAGGGACCAGCTGGTGGGGCTCACAGGTGATCCTAGGCGCGCTGCGCCAGCTCCCAGATTCCGCTAGAAGCTAAGCTGTGGAACCCGCAGCCTCGTTTGTTTGTTTTGCCTTAACCTGAGAAAGGACTGATGTTTTGGCTGCTGGAAATCATTCCTGAAGGCGAGAGCTCCTCGGAGAAACCCAGGTTCCTCGCTCTTGTTCCAGTGGCTGTGGCAGGGTTCCCAGACTTAACCTGGACCCCCTCCCAAGAGAATGGGAAACAGCAAAAGAAGCTTCACCCTCTGATGGGGAACCACACCCAGGATTTAGAACGTTTTCCTGCCTAGAGGGGCAGTTAGGGTGGAAAGACAAAGACAGTTTCCTCTTTAGGTCCTTAACACACCCTGGCGGGCGGGCGTACGGTGTGTGAGCGTGCACAGTCGCGTCGACTCTGAGACTCCATGGACTGTAACCTGCCAGCCCCAGCCCCTTCTGTCCCTGGAATTTTCCAGGCATAAATACTGGAGTGGGTTACCATTGCCTACATTTCAGAAACTTAGCATTTTCTCTTCTCATCCTTTCCACCTGGGGAAATCTGTCTCCCTGAAGCAGGTTTGGATCCTGGTGAGCCATCAGTTTTGGTTTCTTAACGCAGAAGTTTCTGGGATGCTCAAAGTGTTTCAATGATGAATTAAAGACATTCACTTGTTTGTCAGAGATGGCGTGGGGGGTGTCGTTGAATTTACCTGGACCATTCCGTCTCCTAACTGCACTGAAACGTGTTAAGTTCTTTCATGAATGGGGTAAAAACTCAGTGATTGCTGATGGCTCTTCCTGGAAATAAAAACTAAACAACTTAGTGCTGTTTTATCACTCTGTCGGGTCTCTGGTTTTATGGGCATTTATCCCCTTTGTCGGGCTTGATGCTTCTAGATGGCCTCTGTCAGGCTTTTTCACATTGCTTATTCGTGGTACCAGGAGACTTTCTGCTGGTTTCAGGCACTACCTTTGCTACAAGGGTATGAGACTGTTGCTCAGGGTCAGTCTACATCTCCCAGGTCTCCTCTGTACCCATCTGGACTGCGGGGGCAGGGGTCTTTATTGCCCCCAGTGTTAGTTTCTTTTTGACAAAAAAGCCAGCTGGAATCTCTTCTGGTTTCTTTCCCAAGAAGACTAGTGGGGTAAAAGTAGGAGTAACGTAAAAGTATATATACTTAACCTTCCCTTGCAATGCCTTCATGGGACCCTACTGTAAGGATCTCTGAACTGCTTTTTCAGATATGACTACAAGAAAAAACAAAACACAAATATGACTTCAAGGACAAAGTCATCAATCCTATCTGTAACAGTAGACTACCACACAAAATATTCCTGCCAGCCTGGTCTTTTTTTTTTTTTTTCCGCCCCTGCTGCACCCGAGTGGCTTGCAGGATCTCAGTTCCCCAATCAAGGACTGAACCCAGGCCATGGCAGTAAAAGCACCGAGTCCTAACCACTGGACTGCCAGGGAATTCTCCGGCTTGGTCTTACATTGATCTCAGTACCAGGTACTTAGAAGAAAAGCAATTTCCCAGTTTTCTATGTCCACAAGTGGCACAAAGAGATGACTATTTTATGTTCCAGGCTCTGTGCTAAGTGTTTTACATGCAATACTTTGTGACATCATCTTATGAAAACAAGGCAAGAGCTCTGCATATTGTTAGAAGGGGAGCTGGACTGCGAACTGGGTGAAATCTCCTCTTGGAAAGGCTTCTTGTGCCAGGAGTGAACACATGAGGGGCTTCTTGCTCCGGCTGTAGTACTCCAAGTAGGAGCAATGCCAGTTAGAGCACATCATGAGGTCTGTATGGGTGATATTATGGGGCTTCAGGGGTAAGTGGGGTTCTAAAGGGGTGCTTTCTATTTTTATGAGGTTTCAGCCCACAGAAGTTACCATCTTAACCAGAGTGCTTAGTAACATCAACTTTATACCACCCACCCATTTCTTTTTTTTTAGTAAATCATACATTTTATTTATTTATTTTTTTTTCCACAACCATAGTGTATCTTTTTTTTTTTTTTTTTACATGTATTCCCCATCCAGGTCCCCCCTCCCACCTCCCTCTCCACCCGATCCCTCTGGGTCTTCCCAGTGCACCAGGCCCGAGCACTTGTCTCATGCACCCAACCTGGGCTGGTGAACTGTTTCACCCTAGATAATATACGTGTTTCGATGCTGTTCTCTTGAAACATCCCACCCTCGCCTTCTCCCAGAGTCCACAAGTCTGTTCTATACATAGGAGTCTCTTTTTCTGTTTTGCACATAGGGTTATCGTTACCATCTTTCTAAATTCCATATATATGTGTTAGTATACTGTAATGGTCTTTATCTTTCTGGCTTACTTCGCTCTGTATAATGGGCTCCTGTTTCATCCATCTCATTAGAACTGATTCAAATGAATTCTTTTTAATGGCTGAGTAATATTCCATGGTGTATATGTACCACAGCTTCCTCATCCATTCGTCTGCTGATGGGCATCTAGGTTGCTTCCATGTCCTGGCTATTATAAACAGTGCTGCGATGAACATTGGACCACCCACCCATTTCATGGCATCAAGAGCCACAGCAGCCTGACCTGCTCCCACCACTATCCATCCCACATGAATCTCTTTCAAATCCTCACCTCCCTCCCCTGGTGCCCAAGCCCCACACTACCGCTGCTCTCAAGAGAAGGAGGGGAAAGTAATGAGACAGATATAAGAAAGGGTGTGGAGCATGCACGGGTACCTCCCTTACTTAATAGTGCTATATTTAAGTCTGTTGCCAATGGAATATTTCATCTTTTCCTCCTGAAGAACAGCTGATTTGGTTTCTTCCTCTAGGGTCAAAACCTGCAATGTTTTTCTGGCATCAGCATTTCCCACTCCTAGAATTTTTCTGGAATCCTCTTTTCCACAGAAACACACTCCTGAATTCCTATTCCTGATTCCCCATTGTAAAATGTAATGCTTTCCCCTAATAATTTTCCCCTCTACCCCAAGTCTCTCTCCACTCATGGGCAATAACTCAGTCATACCAGGAGCATTTTTTCCCGGCAACCATTTCCTAGACCAAAAATAACTTGTTTTTGAAGAGCCAAATCTTTACTTTGCAAGAAAACAAACATTCTAAACAATCAAAAGGCATGTTCACTGCTATATGCTAGAGAAGGAAAATAAACACACACACACAAAACTTAAAGCACACCTTTATGACATCACCCGAAGCAGCCACTGGGCTTGACCCTTGTTTCCACATAGCAACCTCAGCCTGCAGCCAGCAGGGCCACACCCTCCCTACCTCTGCCTGTCTGTCGTCACCTTTTTCAGAACCTTCCTTAGCAACAAGAACAGAAAGAGAAAGCAGGACCTCCTCCCAAGGTGGACAGACAGATCAACATGGCAGACAAGACAAAGGCCCTCAATGATAAGACACACACATTCATTTTTCCTGAAGATATTTATTAACATCCAAACATATTTTCAACAGGGGTGGGCATGATTCCTAACTTCCCCAGGATCCAAGTTTTCAAAGTCTCCCAAGGAACCCATCTTTCGTGAACCTTCTGAAGACTCGATCTCTGCAAAAGGGTAAACTAATTCAGACTTATATAGTTTCCTCTGCCTATTTCCGGGCAGACCTGCAAATTCTGCCTTCCTGTTTCCCTTAGGTCTCTTGTTCCTTTTTGTTTGAGGTGACACTTACATTAGGACCTGCCAATGACCAATACGGTCAGGCCATGGACGGTGTGTGCCCTGGACTGCCTATGAGCTTCCCAGCCAGGCCTTCAGAAAAGCTGCAACTCACCACCAGTATTTTGGTGCCTCCTGCTTTCCCAGGAGACCTGATCACTCTTCTTTGCTCTCAAGGGCCTCGGGAGCTCAAATATTCCTGATGAATGTCCCAAGTGAGGAAGCAGCAAGTCTGTGGATTCCCAAAGTTGTTGGGATGGACACAGGACAGAATAAGGCACCGACATCACAAGCTGGCTAAATATGCTGAGGGGGATAGGTGTGCCCCGGGACAGGAAGTACTTCATAGAGAATTCCACCCTGAGTGGGTCACCTCAAAGACTTGCTATTCTCACTAATTCCAATAGAATTCCTTTTCAGTTTTATGCTAATCCTTTGCCGCCTCTGTACTTCCCTCAGTAGGACCCTGCCCTGGGGGGTGGGGGGGGTGGGGCAGGGTAATTACTCGATGGGTAACGAATATGAGCTCTGAACAACAGGCCACCTTATCTGGGCCCAAAAGAAATCCCATCATTTCTATCCAGTGTGAGTTCTCTGATGACTCATAAGGCGTGAACTTCGAGAAAAGCTTTCTCCACATTCAGAACATTTATAAGGTTTCTCTCCTGTGTGGGTTCTCAGATGACGAATCCGATTGGAGCTGTGAGAGAAACTGTCCCCACATTCGTGACAGGTATAGGGTTTCTCTCCCGTGTGAATTCTCTGGTGCCTGATTAAGTTGGATCTATGAGAAAAGTTTTCCCCACAGAGGTTACATTTATATGGTTTCTCTCCTGTGTGTGTTCTCTGGTGTCTGGTGAGGTGCATGCCCTGCCGGAAGCTTTTCCCACAAGTCAAACACTGGAAGAGTTTCTTCTCGGCTTTGGGGTGGGTCCCGGGATTTGTAAGAAAGAGCGTGCTGTCCCTCACTGCTTCCCCACACTCAGAGAAGGGGTACAGCCTCTCTTTCTCATGAGTTCTTTCATGAATAACAAGGTGTGAACTGCGAGAGAAACTTTTCCCACACTCGGCACACTTATAAGGTCTCTCTCCCGTGTGAATTCTCTGGTGCCTGAGGAGGTTGGAACTGTGAGCGAAGATCTCCCCACACTCAGGGCACTTGTAGGGCTTTTCACCTGTGTGTGTTCTCTGGTGCCTGTGGAGGTTGGAGTTGCAAGAGAAGCTCTTTCCACACACATTACACTGATAGGGCTTCTCACCTGTGTGGGTTCGCTGGTGGCGAGTCAGGTGGGTATTCTGACTGAAGCTTTTTCCACACTCGAGGCACTTATGGGCATCCTCTCCCAGGTGTGCTCTGTGTAGTGATAAAAAGTGTGGATTCCCACCAAAGATTTCAGCGCACTCCACACCCATGCACAGTCTTTCTGCTGCATGTATTCTCTGGTGCCTAATCAGGTTCGAGTTGTTAGAGAAATTTTTGCCACACAAGGGACATAAGTGGAGCTTCTTTGGCTGCAGTTCCTTTGGTCGTCCCAGCTTTTTGCAACTTGTGGCCCCCACTAAGGGCTGCTCCAGTCGATCCTCTGTGGGAGGCTCCCAAAGCTTTTCTGCCCTGTCCCGAGGCCTTCCCTGCTCAGGACTCCAGGGCACCTCCCCTCTGGCCTGGCCAGCCAGCAGCACCTGACGGTGGATGCTCTCAGGGCAAACAGACTGAGCACACTCTTCCTGGTTCTCAAATTTCTCTTCCCCTGGAAGAGCAAAAGAAATCAACCCCCCATGTTATTTCTATGCAAGAGAAAATGAAATCCCATGCGTGATACTGCCTGTAGGTCAGAAGTCCAGAAGGCCTCGCTCTCCCTCAGTTTCCCATCTTCCCCATATTGGTAACTCACTCTAGACAGGCAGCCATATGAGGTGTGGGGACATCACTCAGGAATGAGAGCTCAAACCAGCCTTGAATTCCCTTGTGGGGGCCCTGACCTCCCTCTCCAACTGAGCCCCTGGCTTCTGTCCTTTGGGAAAAGTGTATGATGGAGCAAGACTGGGACAAAAGTGGGCAAGTGAACCCAGGAATGAATGCCTTCTTACACTCTGCACCCTGGGAACCGTGCCTGCCATCACTGGGATGGAAGTGGGCAGTGGGGACAGGCTAGCTTTACACCAAGACCCTCGAATGCCTTATTCCCAACAGCAGGAGACTAGCTGGGCAGTCTGCTCAGCTGCTTTCCTTACCTGGAGCTGGCGTCCTGGAGCTCAGACCTTCCTTGCAAGTCTGGACACTTGGATGCCAGGGCCTTCCTCCATGTTCCACCTGGGTGCTCAGGGCCTCCTGACTGGGAACCTGAGACTCTGACCACAATGAAAGAAACGGATTTCTATGTCACTACTTTCTTCAACTAGACAAGAGAAACAAAGACAGTCTTGCTCCCTGTCTTCAGTGGATGGATACAAAGGTGCAGGAAGTCTGACAGCAATTACTTGGAACATACACTAAACTATTCCCACTGTTACCTCCAGAGAAAGAAATTAGATGAGGGAGACTATGGCTTTTTTCTTCCTACACTGTGTGATACTTGAAACTTTTTGCAATAACAATGTAAAACTTTTGTAATTAAAACACTCTAATGCACATGGTCAGAGTGGTCAGTTCCTTGAAGAATCAAAGTGTAATACTGTGAAAGAGTCTTGACCCTTATGAAACTAAGTTGGGACAATTCCAGAAGTAAAAAATGTAATATGATGGACAATCAGAAAAGGACCTGGGACTCTGAGATTAACACCCAAAAGAGCCATCCTGTGTTATGCTCACTCCAACTCCATCAAACATGGACTTTAAAAAGGTTAGTCCCAAGAAATCATGATCTGAACTCTTCTTATTTGGCACTCACTGAATGAACTGTGCTCAACTTAGGGTGCCAAGCCACAGCACAATGGCAGAGACCCTGGAGAAGGCCCCCATGCAGGCAACCAAACTTCTTTTCTACCAGGTATGCATCAAGATAGCTACAGTGGTAACATATTGAGTCCTGTTTTTTATTTATTTATTTTTTTTTAAGATTCCTTCAAGTTTTTATTATGAGAATTTCCATACATGCAGAAAAGAAGAAGGAATTATACAATACCCACACACTCTCCACTGAATCCAACGATCAGTTTGTGGCCCTGTTTTACAGACCTCATTTTTAATCTCTGCATAATAGTTCAATATGAAGACGCATCTTAATTTATATTTAAATTACTTACACCCGTTTTGAATATATATCATTTCCAAATTTCTACAAAGCTTTCCCCCTTCCTCAATTTTCAAGGATTGGGACAGTCACTAAGCTGGAATGTTGATGCCAGTGCCCTGAAACCTGTGTCTTTGGGGAAGAGCCCAGAAATACTAATGGAGCACAGAAAACATAAGGTCGGAAGAATAAGCATTTTAAAATTGCAAGGCAAAAAAAAAAAAAAAAAATTGCAAGGCATCAGGAACTTGGAGCCCCACAGTATTCTGTGGGTGATGCGTGGGAAGTGGGGATGGGGGTGGTGGTGAGCATCACTGGATTTGACTTGTTCTGCCCTGGTAAGTTCATCATGGCCGACTCCCTGCCCTCATCTCTGGCAGCTGGGGCCCTTAAGTGTGCCAACTGTGGCACCTGGCAAATATTTAACTGATCTTAGTCCAAGGGACTTTAGGCAAAGGCAGGTCTCCTGGCCAAACTCAGAACTTAACACCCAGGAGGCGAGTGGCTAAGGGACAGCACCCTGGTCAGAAATGGCTCAGTCTTCATCCTTGGAAAAGAAGTCCTTACCCAGTGAGTCCACATTCTCATAACTCTCCTGCACCGTGTCCCGGGAGAGGGCCCTCTTACTAGGATGCTGACGCCCCCACTCCTCCTGGGAGATGTACATAGCCACGTCCTCTAAGCTCTCAGGCAACTGAAATAGCACAAGATCACCTTTAGGCCCTAAGGCACCAAGAACAATTCAAGCAGTCACAGGTTAAAGGGCAAAACCCAGGGGTGCCAAGGACTCATTTCACGGGGAAGAAGGGTGTTAGGCCTACAAGTGAAGTGTGGAGGAGACAAAGAAGGTGGGGACGTGCATGTAGTGAGGTAGTAAGGATCCTCTCTAAGTGGCAAAAGGACCCCACCCCCACAAGAACAACTGGGGGGAGACAATGAGAACTTCCACATCACCTGGGGCCCAGTCAGCTCTTTGTCTTCCATGTTTCCTTCGGGAGGAAAGAGAGAAAGCCAGGGAGCAGATAATGCTGAAGGTGACAGAAATGATGATGAGAATGGCATTCTTAAATCTTGGCAACCCAAGGATTATCACAACACAGTGTCCACTGTGCCCTGACACCCAGACTCTGCTAGCAGGACCCAACACTGAACAGAAAGCAACGGAGGGATAATAATGCGACATCCAAAACAACAGAGTACCAGCAGTCTTTCCTGCTGGCCCAAGCATTCAAGCCCTCATTCACTGAGCTCTAAAAGTCTCTCTTCAGCATACAAAAAGACTTCCTAAGAGATCCCCCTCCCTTCACCCACCCCAAGAGGAATCCAAACCACTTCTAGATCTTCTACTCCACATCTGGGGACCCTCAGGTCAGAAACGCTCCCTCCTTGGCAGTGAGACTGCATCCTGCCAGTCTCAGTCAGGGGCAACCCCAAAGCCCCTCCTCCCTCCCACTTGCCCAGATAACTGTTCCTCACCCCTCTCCTTTACAGCCTGAGGGTCCCTTTTGGGGCCGGGGCCTAGCAGCTCCTGCAGCCTGCGGCCAGGGCTTCGCTCAGTCTCCATGGGCTCCAGCTTGAAGCTCGGTGACTCTTGTGCTGTTTCCAGAGGCAAAGGCTCCTCCAAAAGCACTTCTGTTCCCTGCCCACGGTTTGTGACCTGGGAACCAACCCACATCACTCATCATCACAACAGGGCCCAAAAGGAAGGGACATTAATACAGATTTCTGAGGGCAAGCCTTCAACAGAGAACCAATGGCAAACCCTTTAGACCCAGCGAGAGAAGAATGAGTTACACTAAAACCAAACTTTTCTGATCCTGTGTACACCTGAGAAAATGTGTGTGAGGAGTGGGGTTGGGGGGATTTCACTCCCAGGGCACACCTTCCCCACTCAGCTCCTGACCCACCTCACTCGCTTTCACCCACCTCTTCTAGATGCATCCACTCCTCACTACTGGATAAGGTAAATCTGGGTGGCTCTGGGGCATATGGCCTCAGAGCTTCAGCTGCAAACTTTTTAAATTCCACTATTAACTGCCACCCAGCTTTGTAAAGATTAGACTGCAGACTGTAATGTAACAATAGCTAACAGCTATTAAGCGCTAACTCTAAGCCAAGAGAGTGATCAAACTACATGCTGCTCTCTCTCTAATCCTCAAAACCACCTCAGAGAGGTATTTTAACATTTTCATTTTACCAGAGGCAGATCTGAGGCCAGAAGAAATTAAGTAACTTGCCCAAAGTCCCAAAGCTAGTGTGAAGCAGAGGGAGGATCTGAACCTGGCAAGCTAACTCCTGGGCTCACTCTAACGCAGACACACTGCTCCAGGTGGAAACAGGGCACTCTTAACTGTCAACTTGGGGCAAATCTGGAGAATGAAAGTTCCTCACTAATCTACAAAAAGGCTTCTTGCCCATCTAAGATCTACTCAGGGCAACCAAGTAAACTCGTATGGGCAACTGGGGTCAAACAAACCGCATATAAAACAGCTCTTTTATCTTACCTTCTGTCTCGGCCTCCCAAGTTCTTTCTGCATATCTTCAACGAGAGTCACCGCTTCCTCGCCGCTCTCCGGGTGCAGCTCCTGCACCCTGCTCTGGATCTCCCGGGGCAGGATAGTCAGGAACTGCTCCAGCACCAACAGCTCCAGGATCTGCTCCTTGGTGCGCATCTCCGGCTGGAGCCACCCGTGGCAAAGCTCCTGGAGCCGGCTGAGGGCCTCCCGGGGCCCAGCGGCCTCTTGAAAGCGGAACCGTCTGAAGCGCAGGTGAGAGGCCTCCGGGCTGGGACCTGGGTCTGGCTGGGGCAGCTCCTGGCTCCAGGCGCTGTCCTCCTCCAGTTTCACTATGAGGAGCCCTTCCCGGTCCTGGAAGCCCGGACCCGACGCCATCTTCAGGCCCCCAGACCGCCTTGGCCGCGAAACCAGCTGCGCACGCCAAAGAAGACGCCCCGGGCCCAGCGCAAGGATGGCTGGAGTCCGCAACAGCCAGGTGGCCCAGAGCTCCAAACCCTGACCGAGAAAGCTGGCTCCAGCCCGGGCGCAAACGGCTCCTGCGCCTCAGCCTCAGTTGCTCGCGGGCGCCGCCGCACCGCCCCTTGGCCCGCCCCCGCCAAGACCGCCCT